ATATGATCGTGTTTCTGAGTGGAAGCAAATCAAAATTAGATCGGGTTCAGCCTTTAGCCAACATTCACTGCACCTTAATGTACACACATCTACATACATACATATATACATATACTTATGCACCTTTATTTATGTTTGACACACACACAGTTATGACTTTTGTTTCGTATATATGTATGTATGTATGTATGGGTGAATAAATATAGCGCAGCCTCAAACATTGAGCTACTCAACGCTTGATGAGTTGCTTGCTTGAGTTGCTTGAGTTGTTGCCTGCCTTTGCCCCAAACCACTTGAGCTGACTAGCTAGCTGTTTGTTTCCTTCCGCCACTCACACTTATTTTTGGCTGCTTCTCTAATGACGCATCATTTTTCAAAGTGCTGTGCAAAATTCTTATTTTTTTGCACATGTAATGGCGTGAAATTCAAAATGGCGCCAGGCGCGAGGCCACGACCTCAAAAGGAGAGTAAAGCAGGCCAGTTCAATTTATCAAGTTTATTAGCGGTTCTGGTAACTGCTTGGCTTATTGTTTGAGAAATTGTTTTGTGTGGTGCGCAGAATTGCACAATTCTCTAAGCCTAAAACTATGCAACATACATGCGACACACACACACATACACACAAGCTGCATAGTCGACTTTATAGTGCTGTTTATGTATGTGTGTGTGCGACTCACTAAGCCTGCAGAATTCCATTCCGTTTCAATGCACAAACTTTACAAAAGCGCTGCATGTGCTTCACACTCACATGTACTCCACCCGTTTGGGCCCATCCACCACCACCTAAATTTTCTAACCCACACATGGAAGGTTTTGCGCTGAGTTTTCCTGAACAACAGCAACAACTGAGAAACAACAAAAAGAAAAACAAGGAAAACAGCTTTAACGCTTTGGCATGTTTATCGCACACTCGTAGCCATGTGCCGTGTTATTGGCAGTTTGCCAAGCGAACAAACGTTCTATGACTTTGCACCCCTCCCCCTCCTTCTGCCCCAACCCCCTCCCCTTTTATACGATTTTAGGTGAGCGCCACCACACCTAGTTCTTGTTCTTCTTTTGAAAATCCATAGCATACTTTTCGGTCACTTTTTCACTGCAGTTGGCAGCTTATTTTTGGGGGCATTAATTAAAAGCAAATTACAGTTGTTGTTATTTCTTCGTGCTGGGATTTGTTTAGAAGCGCGCGAAAAACTTCTGCTGCAGCCTCATTAAAAACTTCTTAGGCAACTCGCAATGTCTTTCAGACTTCTTGTTTTCTTTTCTGCTTATTTTTCTTATTACTTTCTTTTTAAGTCAACAACATTATTAGCAATGCAAATGTGTTGGCTATTTGTGCGGCACCTGAAAATGTTCTCAGTCCGTGCCCCAAACGTCCATATGACCATAACAACGCAAGAAAAATAATAGAAGTATCTGCAGCAGCATGTCGCCTCTTTTCGCCAAAGTTTTGCTAATTAAAGCGGCATGTAGAATTTCGTTCTTTTATTTTGTTTTTATTTATTTATTTATTTTTTTTTTGGTTTTTAGCCCACCTGCCAAAATGTCAAACGCAAGCAAATTGTTCAATGAGCTCCGACAGCTGACAGCCGAGCAATAAATATGACAAGAAACTCAATATTTAATGAGCCAGCCTGAATGTGTGATTGTCTGGGTGTGCGTGTGTGTGGCGAAATTTTTGGGTTCGCGTATTCCCAAAATACGAAACCCCAATTTAAATATCTGTGCGTGTATGGGTGTGTGTGTGTTTGGGTTACACAAATAATTTTGCTTTCCTCTGCATGGCTCGGTTACACGCAAATATGGAGTCTGTGTGAGGTTGGGGCATGTTGTATGTGTGTGGGTGTGTGTGTGTGTGGTTGTCAGGCAACGGAAATTGTAGTATACTCGTAGTTTAGGCGCGCTGAAATGTGAAACCATTTTACGGAGCATCACATAGATGGCAATGAATGCTAAGACTCGTGGCCATGAACATTCCCCTCAACAGACAAAACTTCACAAATTGTCATGAAAAGTTGTAGCAGAGAGAAAACATATTCAGAGCTCTTGTAAAATCATTTTGTTGCTGGCTACCATATTGCTGAGAGGGGAAAAAACAACAGCAGCGCCGGAAAGTAAAATTAGCATTAAATATTATACTTGGAGAGGGAACGAAATTAGTTGCTGATTTTATGGAGAAACATAATTAAAAGTTAAGCTGGTGTGGTGGTAAAGCTATTGCTCCTTTTGTACTTATATCAAGACTCTCCGGAACTAGTTTTATGTTTAAAGAATGTATAAAGAATTAGTATTGTTATAGAAATTTCCTTTCAAATCAAAAATGATGAATACTATATCTTACAGAGCAGCTTTAAAGTCCGATATAAAAAGAAAATAACAATTGTTATCCTAATACTAATTACTCATATATTTAATTCAGGCTTCTAATAGGCATTAAGTAAGACCCTGAAAAAGGAGAAGTACTGTATGGCTGCACATTATTTATGCACACTAATATATTGCGTATATTTTTCATACTACAAGTTGATTTAAGATATCGATCATAATTTCGATTATCGTAAAATATATATTGAAAGTAACGCGTGAAAGTGTAGCAGAGAATTTAGAATATCTAAACTTTTTTAATCTTTCACATTCTGACTATACTAGTATATTTACATAGAAAATGATTGAAAATGGTTATAATATATAGTACACTATAATATGCTTAGCTGCATCGGCAAAACGCATGAAAATTGTTTTTGGCAGCATTAAGAGTTGATTTCGTATGAAACTAATTACGTTTGGTCAACAGCCTTTCGCACTTAAGCGCCTCTTATCGGCAGTAATTTTCTATAAGTTCATTAAAAAAGTTAGCTGCGCCATCTATGCAACTTTTTTTTCAAATAAGGTAGTTGCTTAATATGCAGTCAGAATGACAACCAAACAACCGTTTATTGTTCTGATGGTGTGTTTTGTCTTTCTTAATTAATTATTAAATTTTAAAAATAGACAAAAGAAAACGCGTAATTTGTTTTACATTTGGAAAAAAGCTGCAATTTATTGCAGCTGTAACTGACATATTAAATTCATTCACCAAAAATGAACTCTACATAGACCAAGGCACTATTCACTCATTTAAATTAGTGTATATACATATGTATCTTGGTGGAATTACAACTGCTCGCTGTAAATCTTTTAGATTTGGAGCACAAATTACAGACTCTTTTTAAGCCATTTGATGCATGTTAAAAAATGTAATATCAATTTAATTAGTGAAACCGAAGTCACACTGAATTATGTACATATAAAACAACTTCATATATTGTCATCAAACCGCAAGAAATAAATAATTCCACTAAAAGTTAAATTTATGTTAGCTGCCTCAAAAGTCGGTGCAAAGTATTGGAAGCAGCTAGACAAATTACACTGTAATAACATTTATAAAAGTTTTTAATCTAAACTTTTACTACACAGAAAATTGCTACTATGATGTAAAGCTTCTAAGCTCTAGCATTATTTAATTTGTCGTAGACGTAGACGATCTCTGAAAAGGCATACTAACTATCAAACTATCTGCCAGTTTTCTTTAAGGACAGTGTGGACAGTGAAGTGAGTAATTAAGCTCGTTCATCAATGAATTGCGCCATAAACTGTCACACCTTTTCGTTTAAATTGTCGACAGCCCATTTACAAGGGCACGACTAGGCCGTTAGGAACATCAAAAGGGCACACATAAGACATACATACATACATACATATGTATGCATGTTCGTATACATAGACAGCAATAAAGGTTCTATGCTGCCATTAGCGCGCATCATTGCCTACAAAGATCAAATTTCAGCGCAAGGACGAATGCGGGATGCCCAGAAAAGCGTGCTACACAAAAATAACTTCATCAAATTTTGTATGCCGTTGCCATTATCCATGCTGCCAATGTCGTTGTCGTCACTGCTATCAATATTGTCAATTTATACACGACTTTCTCTGTCTCTGTATGCTCTGTATTTTGGAGTGTGCTCGTGTGTGTGTGTGTGTGTGTAGGTTTGTGTGTGTTTACTTGTGGGTCCTTGCGTGTGCGTGTGTGTGCCGATTTTATTACCGGCGCTTGCCGCCTGGCAATTGTTTGCTTAAAAGTTTTCACACACATACACAAACACACACTAGAGTGTGCTTTTTGGCACTCGCCCTCTGCGTTCTATTTTTCTTCCTTTCTTTTGTTGGTATGTGTAGTATGTTTGCCAACACGTTCGTCGTTGTCGTCCTGGTCCGTGTCCCTGTGACGAAGTTCACACACTATGTCGACAACTTGGCCTTTTCGTTTCTTGTCCTTGCGGCTCCCCACAGATTTTGCACGTTTGCTATTTTCACATTTTTGTTCGCTCCCATAATGTTGCTGTTGTTGTAGTCGTTGTCGATTATTGATTAGATAAAAAGCGTCAACATACAAAAAACAAAAGCGCAAAGCCATCGTAAAAGCATGCCCGCCGAATTTTTGTTGTTGCTGTTGTTCTTTTTGTCATTGTCGGTGCCGGCGAGCACTTAAGTCACTTCTCACGGCCAATGGGATTTGACGAGAATGTTGAGCAACGCGCTTTTAGCCACAAAAGTGAAAACGCAAGCCCAGACTTAGACAACCAGGCACAGCTTAGAATGCCACACTGGAAGAAATTAATCTGATTATAAAGCTCTTACGCAATGATCAATTTCAACTTGTGCATATCTTTATTAATCACTTTCGACATCCCTATGAACGGAAGTCGATTAGGTTTTATAAGCCATTTATATCTAGTACTCCTCTTGCCATATTAATTATCAAATTGTCTATCGTTGAACAATTGAACAGTTTTTAATAGGTAAGGTAACTTTCCCTAACACCACTTTCAAGTCATTTGTAAAGCTGCTCAGAACAGGTTCAAGTTATGAAATTTGTAAGCTTTAAACAAAAACTAAGCACTGATTAGTGTGGGAGACACTTCCCTTCTTAGTGCTTTGCACTCAAATATTTATCACAAATACTATTTCCATTAGAGAATAATTCTCTTCATCTTTTAGATTCCTTTATTTGATCAACTTGATTTAACTTTGCACTCAGACATTGTTCGCCTGATCCAGTCCTGATAGTAAACCGTATTGGCATGCATATCGGGTCTACCCACTGCACAGGGCGCTCCCCAATTGACAAGTCCCACCAGCTTTCCCTCCCACATGATTGGACCGCCCGAATCGCCGGAACAAGCGCCTTCTCCTTCACGCGTAAATGTACAAATATGTCCGATATCAACTCCTGGGTTCTCCGACCATTCCTCGACACAGTCATCGTGATCGATAACCGTCAAGTTGATGGTTTGTAGCATTTGCATTGGTGCCCCATTCAAGTACTGTGTGCCCCAGCCCGTTAGCGTTACAGTGGCGCCCACTGGCGGGTTCTTGTCACTTAACGGAACTACTTGCACGCGTTCGTTAAACACAATTGAATCGTTCAGTCGCACCAGGGCTATGTCGTTATGGTACATGTATGGCAGATCATACCGACAATGAACCAACGAGAATTCCGGATATAGTATCTGACCGGGCGCTGTGTAGTTGTTGGTGCCGACGACAACACGCAGTTGATCCAGACTATCGTCATTCACACAATGGCCTGCTGTGAGTATCCAGCGCTCGTTGAGTATGACGCCACCACAGCCATGCGTTCCCCAAATCATTTGAATCGAGACTTGAAAAGGTGCCGCGTTATCGGCTGCCTCCACGCCGCCCACTATACGACCATCGATCTTGGGTGCTTTATGATCGTCGTCCAGATGCAGTCGCTTCGCTTCTGCATCGTGTGCGAAACAGCTCAGACCCACTAGTACCAGCACCTGCCAAACTCTTGTCCAATGCCACAGCATAGCGTATACTTGTATTTTCTTTTTATGAATGCGACAAGCTGTCGCAAAAACTTAATGGCCAGCAATGAAACTCGGGATCATTGTTCAGCGCTTTTATATGGGAATCCATATAAACACTGGCCAATTGCACAAGGTTTTGTCCAACGCCTATCGGTAGGAAATTTTCTTTTTTAAATTCAGTGGTCAAATCTTTATGGGCATTCATAAATGCAAGTTGTCATCACATACAATGAATGTGTAGTTTACGAGTATACGGAGCGATAGAAACTAGACGGCAAACACATTATATTGAAGGCATAATAAAGCAGCGATAAGTACTTGGATAAGTCGCATATACTAAGTTTTTACAATATGCTATCTGTGAGCCCGTTATAGAGCCAATAGAACTTCTGAATGAACGTACTTAGTTGTTGTTGGAATTAAGTATATTCTTAGATATTTCGTGCTTAACAACTGTTTTCTTAACGCTAGCACTTTAACATCAATATTGTCGTGGGAGCTGATAAGCGTTGGCCAATATATAAACTGCAGTATATTTATTTACTAAAATCAGTAGCACTGGGAATTTCTGAGAATGCATGCACAGAGAAACTTTACTGCAAAATACTTTTAACGAACAGGTGTGGCTATCAAACTTGTTAAGCTGACTTGGCAATTGCTGAGCGGTAATTGTACATTTCAATAATATTGCGTTGCATAAATTTGACGATAGTCAGCAATAATATAGCGCTGCCAAAAAGAAATTGTAAATGTGGGAATGGGTCTGGCAAAGCAGTCACCACAGTTCACCAAACTCCCCACTTGATTACAAATGTGGTAATTGGTTTGGCAATGCAGTCACCACAGCCCACCAAAGTCCCCACTCCTTGAGAGAGTTAACTGCAGTCATGACGAAGAAGTCACCACTAAGAAGTCAGAAGTAAAGCGCGCGTAGCGAGAGAAAAATTCGAAGCCGAATGACGAAACAACGCTGTCCTTTAATTTAAACAAAATCGAATGTTTTCTAAATATCTATAATCATTACAACTATTTACAAAACTAAATTTGGAGACTTGGGGTCTTTTATTAAATTTCACTTCATATTAAATTCAATCATGAGTGTAGTTTTTTTTAGAAGATTTAAGAAGGATATTATTTGTATTGATTTCATATTTTCATTTACTTCGTCAGCATTTTTTGAGCTATTTTATTATACATTTTTATCCAAATATTCTTAATTTTATTTCGTATTTTCTGTCATTGCAACCATTTGCAAAGTTTTCATTCAAACCATTTTAAAAATGCTGTTCCAAACTGTTGTTATTTAATTAAGCGACTTCATTTTAATATTTCATTGAGAATAATTTCTAGTTTAGCTTTAAATTTCTCATATTTCATACTCTCTACTTCATTTAATATTTTCTCACATGGCAAATATTTTAAATTTTGTTCATTGAAAATATTTAAGAATGCTTTTCCTAACTGTTGTTATTTAATTTTGACATTTGTTTTTGAGAGTAATTTCGATTTTAGCTTTCATTTTCTCATATTGATTAAATGTCACGTTCCTATTTTATTTTCAATTTATTAAAGTTGAAGGTCTGATTTAAGGCTCAAGTAAAGTACCTTTTAAATATTTATTTATTTAATGTAACGGTTTAATGAACATTTTATTTTTAGACATGTACGTGTACATTGTCTTCAAGTGACATTGTCAATATATGTATATATCTCTCTCAGTGTCTGTCTACCATTCGTGTGTGGGCTTAGAGGTGGGTGTACGAGTGCCGATAAACGAAAGTCAGCTAAAATTAAAGCCTGGCTGGGTCCCATTTTGGCTCCTGCTTTTGTCCTGTACTTGTCAAGGCTGTCAAAAATATGTTAATGTGCTTACTGAAAATTGCCAAGCTTTGTCAGTCAATCAAATCGCTCAAAGTGGCATTTAATTTTTGTATCAGTCACATGAGTTTTGATTCGTCTTTTGTGTGTTGATGTTGGTGGCCCCGTCGGGTGGTTGCCACGAAAATAATAACAACAACAATGATGATGGCAAGAACAAAAGCGTCAACATGGCCCGAAACAAAAGGCGTCGGAGAGACACATAAAACCCGCCCACAGCTTTCAGCAAATAACAAGAAAACAAACAACAAAAAAACGAAAAAAGTAAAGGAAAGCCACAACAAATAAAACCGAAAAGAAAAACGTGCGCTTTTCATTTTGAAGCAAATGTTCTCTGTCGCAGCAATTGTGGTTCGCATATTGTATTTTCGCCAGAAGTCGTCTGCCGGTCAGTTGGTTAGGCAGACAGTCAGGCTGGCTGCCTGGCTAGCTGGCTGGCTGGCTGGCTCTCTGTCCGGCAAGTGGCTTTTGGCTTTTGTGTTTTGGCCAATTAACACACAGTGCAAAACAGCCAACAAAAATTCTCAGGCGTCTGAACTTTTCTAAGGTCGCTGAAATCACGAACAACTTTTGGCCGCCCACACCAACAAATACTTATAAGTACACTGTATATATAGAGATATTTATTCGTATCTGTATTTTGTGCGACAAAATCTGTTTAAGCATATTTGGCCAAGCTAATTGAATGATATGCCGCGCATTTAATCTCGTCACAAATTTTTCACAAAATTTCCATGAGCATCGAATAGATTTTGTTTTTGCTTGGCGCAGCCAAAAAAGTGTTTCAAGGTCTCAATGCGAGTACAGGGTTTCATTCAGGTTTTCGAGTCATTAGCACATCTTGGAACGCACTTCAGCGGCCCAAGACTATGGCACTCGCTACAGTTAACGACACTCGATCGTCCAGATATAAACTGGCAATTAACACCCAAAGGGCATCGTTAACATCATTTAAAGACATGCTGAGCTCATATCGATGCTCGAACCATAAAGACAACAAACCGAAAAGAAACGCCTTCAAATGACGCCGAAGAATAAATGCGCTTCTTGGTCTACAGATTTGATTCGAAATCAAAGCGAACACAACTGATAGTCTACCGATTTGAAAGAAAATCAATTAGAAAACAAATTGTGTTGAAGTTGAAATAGTTTTATTGGAGAGGCTATTTCTTTAACTTCTCTGCCCGATATCAAAAGAATTTGTTGTACGAATTTTAAAATATTTCGGAAAGAAAAACAATATTCAAACCATGAACATCACCAACAGGTTGAAGTTTTGCTATGAGAACAGAAAATCCAAATGGACTAATCTGCCTATAAAATAATGTGAAACATTTCTAAAAACACAATTCTTGGCGTAATTGGTCGATTTAAATATAAATATTATATTCTTGGAGAAGGAAAGTAATTGAATTTGGGCAGTATTTGCGATATAAGCGATAATCGATTTATATCGTTAGTTATATTTTTTAATTTATATTTAAACTCCATGTATAAATTGAGTCTGTTAAGAGTATCTAGTTCAGCAGTTGATCTCCAAATTCGCATTTCCACTTATTAACCAAAGGGCTTGGTTTCATAGCTCGAACATGTTTTTGCTTTTGCTTTCGAAGATATAGCTGAATAAGTATCTGGCAGCATTACAAAGTAAGTTATTGAAGTAGAGCACATTATGAGAAATTTTTAATTCGCAGATTTGTTTAATGCCAAACTTGCAGGCAAAAGCAGCACCGCTCTTTAATAAAGTGTATAGACACGGTTATTCTCGCTGTTTGCGAAAACTTGTTTCTGGCCCCAAGGGTCTTAAGCCACACGATGCCAGGCACTGTTATGATGAGCAGAGAAATTAAAGAAGCGGCAAAAGGTAAAATACAACAATAACAAAAGCAGCAGCAGCAGCAGTAACAAAGAAAAAAGTGCATTTAATTAAATGGGCCCGGGCATGGGACTGCAACCTGTTCGACCCAAAGAAGCGATACGTCGCCGGCCGCTGATGGGCAGTGAAAATTGATGAGCGCGCTCAATATTTGTATCTGTATCTGTATCTGAGTATCTGAAGGCAGGCTGTAGGCAGCTTGTTTTCAGTATCTTTTGCAATTGCCGCATGAAATTTAATGAGATTTTTTCTCATTACTGGCGCGGCTGGTGCTGTTGTAAATATTTTAGCCGTCTCATATGCCAAAATGTAGGTCAAACATTTTCAGCATTTCTCAAGTGCCTGTCGCATGCATAAGGGTAACCAAATGGGGCAATATATACATTACACACGGACAAAAATTGTACACGCGTGTTGGCCAAATTGCATTGCAATTGGCATTTCATAAATGCCTCACATGCTGCTCGTATATGTACGGAGATACTCGTATACTTGTAGTATGCGTGTGTCGGCCTAGGCGACATTTGCTTGAGCTACACGTTGCCAAAGATTAATTGGTCCCATGGGCCGCTGGCAATTAAGTCCAAAAAAATGACACACACAAAGCTGTTGACAAGATCTGGCGACAAACATCAAATAAATGTGCAAACAACTGATCCGAACGATCCACAAACCATATCATTCAATATATATATTCAACATATTCAACGACGATGACGACGACGATCAATAGCCCGATCGTTGAGGCAACTGTCCACTCAAAAGACACTTTGAACGCTCAACACGTTTAGCAATTACTACGCATCTCGTAGTTGGACGGCATGCTTAACAATAGTCCAAATTAGAAGCGAACAACAACAACAGCAACAACTACATGTGCACTTGCCAGCGACAAGTGGCTATAGCCGAGATGGCTAGGAGCAGTGGCAGTGGCAGTGGCAGGGGCGTTCCGTTAACCAGCCTGTGGTCCACTCTTGGCCACTGCAGCAAATCTTGTTGCAAATTTTTGCAAATGCAGTCACTTTTTCAAGTGGCAAAGCAACTTAAAGCAGCTTAGTGGTTTGTTGCACTCCAGTGTGCACAGTGGTACAAATTTTGGGGACAACTTAAAACAGGCAATGGAATTTCAATCATTGGTTTAACAGATTACACATAATTCTGTTTTTAAACGGTTTGCAAATTAAAATTTTTATATATTTACGACTTTATTCCATTTAGCACGATTCAAAATAACACAAAATAAATA